GCACACCGCCAACCAGTGGGGACGGAGCACAGAGAGAGACACAGCAGGCGCCACAGCTGCCTCACACCCGCTCAGCGCCGGCCCCGCCCGCACAGCCGCTCGGCCTCTGTCCTAGGAGGGCAGCCTGGGGCCTCCCGTAGTTCTCTCAGCGGACATGCAGGTCACAAGAGGATGGGGAGGACGATAAAGGCAGAGCAGAGGGACACTCAGCACCCATCCAAAGGGGGTGCTCCTCCAACACGCACCCGAGATACCCAACTCCTGCTGGAGGTGCTGCGGTTCCCTGGCCCCGGCCCTCCCGCCTGCTGTGATGGCCCTGCTGTCTCTGGAACAGGGATCCACTCTCCCAGGGCTCCCTGGCGGCCCGGTTCCTTGCCCATCCCTGCTTAAGCCCAGCAGGCCATGAGCCCCCAGAGCTGGCCACTCCAGGCAGTGCCCCGTGCACAGCAAGGCCATCAGGGAACCACCCGGGAGCTGGCGAGGGACTGGGAGGATCCAGGGCTCAGCGGGGCCCCAGCCTGGGAGACCGGAGCCAGACTCGGAGCCAGGTCTGACCCCACCCTGGGGCGTCTTCCCCGCTTCCCTGCCATGGGATCCAGATGCCATTCCCCACGCATGCTCAGGAGGACGGCACCTCACGCCCAGAAAGGAGGCCCAGCTCAGCCCTGCTCCTGCCTGCAAGAACAGAATTCCAGGAAAGATGGATTGGTGGAAAAGCCAGGCTCCCAGAGAGGGGGCTCAGGAACCAGGCGAACACCCAGCCACTCAGAGCACCGAGGTGCAACAGCCGGTAGGGACTGCTGGCTGCTTGGCCCCGATGCCACGGCCCCCACACGCAGGCCCCGCAGAGAGCTGAGTTCAGTCTGTTTGGTGTCGCTGCCCTTTGAAACAGGCGACAGCTTAAAAGCACATTTGGCTCCCAGCCCGGAGCTCCCAGGCCGGCTGCTCCCAGGCCTCGTCCTCCTCCGCTCCTCCCTCATCCTCCTCCGCTCCTCCCTCATCCTCCTCCACGGCTCCCTAAGAAGGAGGGTCCTTCTGCTGCCCTGCCTTGCTCCACTCCCCGTGCCCACCCCTCTGGTCAGCAGCCCACTGCCTCCTGTTCGTCCGGCCCAGCCACGTCCAGGACAGGGCAAGCCCAGTGAGTCCTGAGCCATCACGCAACTCAGGGTCACTCTGGGAGCCCAGGACCACGGGCAGCTGGCTCCTCCTCTTCCTGGATGCTCCAGTCTTCAGAACCCAAGGGTCTGGGGACTCTGACATCCTCGGCCTATGGAGGAAGGGCCACAGGAGCACAGTGCCAGAGGCCCGGGCAAGGCCAGGGCACCAAAGGGACAGTAGTGGTCCAGCATCCTGCCTGCAGCCCCATGGTCCCATCCTGGCTGGGGGAGGGCACGGCAGGCTTCAGAGGTCCCACTCTGCTATCACCTCACCAGGAGACCCCAGCGAGCTACTCAGCCCTCCTGGTGTCAGCTTCCTGAACTGCAAGAAGGCATCACAAAGCCAGGCACCGTGGTGCACACCTGCGATCCCAGCAGTCTGGGAGGCTGAGGCAGGAAGATTGCTCATTCAAGCTCTGCCTGAGCAATGCAGCAACCTAGTGAGACCCTGTCTCAAAATTTAAAAAATAATAACGATATAAAGGGCTGGGGTTGAAGCTCAGTGCAAAGGGTACAGAAAGAGAGAGAGAGGGGGAAAGAATGAGAAAGGAAAAGGAGGAGGAGGGGAGACAGAGAGAAAAGAGAGGAGGTGGGGAGGAAGCGGGGAGAGAGGGCCGAGACCGGGGCCAGGCAGAGGCTGGTGAGCGGGTGGAGCTCAGGGCCTGCGGGTCGGGGCCTCCTCCGCCAGCCCCCGCCCACTAGGAACAAGCTTCTCCCCTCGCAGACACCACAGCTCCCCCGGCTGTCACATCCGTGCTTCCAAGACCACACTGGCTTCTGACCCAGCCCCGTGCAAAGACCTCTTGCTGCATCCTCCTGGCAGAGCCCCGCCAGCACCACGCACTGGGGCGAGGCCTAGGATCCCCACTGGCACATCCCGGGTGAGACAAGGCTGGACATGCACCCCAAGAACACACCGACCAGGGCGGGCCAGGGCCAGGCCGGGGGCTGAGTTCGCAAATCGAGGGCAGCAGCCCAGCAGCCCATGCCTCACAGGGGACCTCAGCGATGCCGGGCATGGGCGCATGTGCACAGGTCACCCCCAGCCACTTCTCTCCTGGGGGCTCCTCGGCTCAGACCCAGGCAGCAGCATGGCTGCAGGGCCCCTCCCCTCAAGGTGAGCTCAGCAAAGAAGGGCCACCAGCTCTGATACCAGAGCCGGGTCACTGAGGTTGGTCACACCTCCCAAAGGTACTGACAGTGTACGCAGCCTTCACTCCGCACCCCACAATCCCCCATGCCGGCCCATCACGCCCATTTTACAGATGAAGGTCTGGGCTCAACCTCTCTGGCCAGCAAGATGGACTAGGCAGGCCAAAGCCATGGGATCAAGGGCCTTGGCCTCTCTCTGCACTTGGCTTCCTCTGGGGGCTCTGCAGGGGACTGGGCGCCCCACCCCCTGGACAGCAGGGCGGCCTCATCAGAGCTGAACTCAGGCCCAGGCCGGAGGCCAAGGGGGCCGGGAACGCTGGGCCTGCCCAGCCCACACACCCAGGCCGAGGGCGCCTCACCGCGGGAAGGATGCATCTTGGCCCCAAGAATCCCTGTGGCCAGCTCTCTCCCCGACAGGCACTTCAGGCTGGACAAGGGGCCTCTGTGTGGCCAGGGCCGCTCCAGGAAAAGCCCTGCAGCCCCAGAGCTCTGAAGCCCCCAGCCCACACCCTGCAAACGTCACCGAGCGTGAAGCGCGGGCCGGCTCCTCCCGGCTCCCTCAGAGCCCGCAGAGGCGCAGCACATGCTGGCTTCTAACGAGTGGAAATCATCCTGCAGCGGAAGGATGCGGCCCTGGAGAAAGCACTGCCACAGGGCCGCCCTCTCGGTCTCAGGCTCCTTCTAGAAAAGCCAGGCAGTGAAAACCGGCAGTGCCATTACTCGGAATCTTGTGGAAGCAAAGAGTTAAATGACTTCCGCTTCAAAAGGCACAGAAATTCAGCCGCACTGGCGGGGAGACGAAGGGCGGCCGCAGGTGAGGCCGCTCTCCCACCTTATCATTACGGCCTTCAGGAAGAAGGAAGGGAAAGGGCCCCGTGGGCCGCTGGCGGCACCGCTGCACTCTGCCGCTCTTCATTAAGGGAGACAGGTCCAATTTCCCGCCGTGAGCACAGCTAACAGCCAGGAAACCCTGAGGCTGGGAAAACACCGCCTTCAGACCATTAACAACTTGTGGTCAACAAAAATCCCTCGCTCCTGGCAGCCACGCTCCCTCAGATCGCATTCCTCCACAGAGACGGGCTCTGCAGCCGTGAGCTGGCTGGTGCAGGCTGCCGGGCGAGAACAAGCCGGTCAGCGACTCCAGGCCCCTCAAGTTCAGGTCTACTTGTCTGAAAATAACCCAGAGTTTTCATTTCTTACCGACACAGCACGTCCAGCGGGCCCAGCGCCACGCCACCTCCCTGCTGAGACAGCTGCCCTGGTCACTCCCAGCTGTCCACACTGGACCACTGGACCAGGGGACACTTGCGTGGGACACAGATGTGCAAGGATTAATCCCTGCACGTGTCTCACACACACATACGTGGGTATGACGATCGTCCCCATTTTATCAGTGGGAAAACTGAGTCACAGACAGGTTAGAGAACTCAGCCACAATGTGGCAGCCGGGAAATGGGGGAGCTGGGACTCACAGCCCATCCAGGCTGCTGACTTCCGGTGCTTCCAGACGGCAGCACAGCCCCCCTATACGTGTGCTTCAGGGAAACGGCTCTTCCTGCTTAGTTAGGAAATCAAGGAGACAGGATTAGTATTAGAGCCCGGCTTTTATTTTTAAAATAAGAAAAGCTTTTTCCTAGATCTTTACAATAAAAAGCACGTTGTGAGCGCACAAAAAGCCCCACCTAGATGGAGAAAACTTTGGCACAGTGGAGACTGTGGCTACTGCATGGTAAATTCATTCAAACCCGATGGCTTGGCCCGCCCCAGAGTCAGGACCCTGGTCCACAGGAAAACGTACAGCGGCAGCAGAGCCCGGTCCGGGCGCCAAGCAGCACCAAGCGCACGACTGCAGCTCTCACGGGCTATCGCCATGGCCCACACTTCGCCGGGGAGAGCCCGACAGCCCGTCCCCATTGCCCACCCCAGCAGCACTAACCTGTCTGCGACATCCCCCAACCAGCTCTCCACACCTGCTGCCCAGGACAGCCCAAGGCCACTGCCCATGTGGCTGAGGACAGGTCTGGCCGGTGCCCACCCACAAGGCGTCTCTGTACCCTACAATCAGGCACTGTCAGCAGGACCCAAGCACCTGGCCCACCCTGCGGAACATCCAGGCTGCCACATCCCGGAAACCTGATCCACAGAAGGGCAGCCACATCCAGTGGACCCAGCGACACACCACCTCCCTGCATAAACAGCTGCCTTGGTCACTCCCAGCTGTCCACACTGGACCACCGGACTCAGTCCTCGCTGTCCACTAGCACTGAGCGGAACAAGTGCAGCTGCCATTTCTCCACTGCTGTCCACAAGGGAGGTAGCATGATGTACCTTATGTTCAACCTCAGCTCTAAGACACAGCCACATCTACAATCCCATTTTACAGATGGAGAAGCTGAGGCTAAGTATCAACTCTACACCCAACAGAGCTGAGAGTATCACCAGGCCCCTACTATGGCCAGCATTCTGTTGATGGCCTCCCACAGTGAGGGCTGGGAAATGTACCTTCTCTCACGTCCACCACTGCAGGGCCCTCACCTTGCCCTGTCCCCCGGCAGACACCATCCCTGCCAACACAGACGTGCACGTACACATGGCGTGCCTGGTGGCGTGTTCCCAGCATGGCTCCGGGGTTGAGTGGACCCCACATCCAGTTTGGAGCAGGGGACATGAATCACCAGCACTGCTGCTCACCTCGAAGACTTCCTCGTCCAAGATCCGGGTGCCGAACACGATGATGCCATTGACGTCCACGATGGGGTGGTCACTGCGGTCGAGGAACTTCGTGGTCTTCTTTTTGCAGTCGAGGATCAAGGTGACATTCTTCTTGTGGACACTGAGGGCAATTCTGTGCCATCTGCAGAGGAACGGATGCCCAGGGGCTCAGGGGCCTGGCGCTGCAGAAGCCCGGCTTGGGGTCTTCCCGGCAGAGCCCTCAGCCCCAAGGAAGAAGCCCCTTTCCTGAAGCTCAAAGTCTGGAACCGCAGCTTGGACGCTCGTCCCAGCACACTGTGGGCCACTGTGAGGGCTACTCAGGCCCCACAGCCTCAGAAGCCTCATCTTTTCCACGGACAGTTTTCAGATCCCCGTGAGCTCATCGGGATGCTCGAGGCAGCGTCAGGGCCGGGGACAAGAACAGCCTGACACCGGCCACTGTCAGAGCCGTCAGAAGTGGGAGGGAGGCCGAGGTGCAGTGTGACATTAGCGTGTAGGTCCCAGCCTGGCATGTGGCATCTGAGCCCTGAGACAAGCTGCAGGCCACCGGGCATGGAAGAATCAACACACGAAAGTCTTAGGAAGACCACAGCATCACCTCCTGTCCCGAGGGCTCAGGCGTGTTGGCCACGGAAGGGGCCACTTTCAAACCTTCCAGCATGTACGGCTGCCCCAACGGAGTGCTCTGCTGACAGCTCCCTTTGTTTTAAATCACCCACTGGCACATGGGATGTGCCACCACCCGGGAAGGATGCCACAAGCCCTCCTGGGATAACGACACATCTCCAGCGTCCCCTCTGACATGGAGGCAGCATTTGGTGTTTTGATGCATTTTGTAAAGGAAAAAAGAAGGCCAGGGAAGGAACAGGAAATCCCCATTGAAGAACTAAGACTGGAGCCCAGGCCTCAGGTCTCTAAGCCTAGTGGTCCCTCCCACAGGTGCTGCGTGCTTTGTGCCCTGCCACGACACCCCTTCTGCCAGCGGGTCCAGCCAGGCTGCCCCTGCCCCACAGGAGGGGGACGGGGTCACCCACATGCCACTTACTTGCCATCCGACAGGTTGATGCCCCTGAAGAGAGGGTACTGCTCGGGCCCAGGCTTCCCCGTGTGGTCCTCGTAGAGGAAGACCGGCGAGCGGCCCATCTCCAGCCCGATCTGCTGGATGCCCTGCTCGTTGTAGATGGAAACCAGGAAGGCCTGGCTGCCTTTCTTGGCTTTCACAGTGGTCAGGATGGAGAAGTCCTCGGGAAACGCAGATGCTGGAACAGGAGACCGAGGTGAGAAGGCTGCAGACCAACCAGCTGGGACCTCTGATGCGTGTGCACAGCCATCCAGCTGCCGCACATCTGCCCTCTGATCACACCGGTCCCGCAGCCGTTTTCTGCCACCGCATTGCAAGCCCGTCCTCTTGCCCCTTGGTTCAAGTACAAGCCCCTCATGAAAGCAAACTGGTCCTCTCTGTTCCCGCACCTGCATATAAGCCCTGCTAGAGCCTCTGAGAGCACCACCTCCCCCGGGGCAGAGGCCACTTCCTATGCATCTCGGTAGCTGCAATCGTGTCTAAGGTTGAGGGTGGTACTGACTCCAACATCACTGTAGGGGTGGAGAAGGGGGGGCGCGTAGGCCGGGGCCACAGCTAGCACTGCACTTTCTGAAATTTCCTGGTTAATACACAAAACAAAAGTTAAAAAAAAAAATCAAAAGGCTTAATCCAAATTTAAAATTTTAAGAAAAATGACTCTCCCATAGGTGGCCAGAAGGGATTGTCCTTTATAACCCCAGCCAGAAATGATCTAAGGTCATCGAAAGCCAGAGCCAGGCTGGCCCTGCGAGGGCCCACGTCCACCCCACGTGCTGCCCTCAGCCCCGGGCATGACGGGCACCTGGGCCTCCTCCTTGATATCGATCCTGGGGGGCAAGTCAGCCATGCTTTCACGGGGAGCGGTCTGCAGCTCTGCTGTGAGGCCAGGAGCTGGTAGACCGTGCAGCTAATCGATGTCCTGCCGAGTCAGCCAGAAACGCCCAGCCCAAGCAGTAGGCTGAGACGCGGATGTCAACACAGCCCCCAGGCTGAAGGCAAGGGATGGGCCCGCTGCTGGGGCCACCCCAGCCCCCATCTCAGCGCCGCAGAGGGCTGCAAGCCGGCCGGACGGGCTTAGAGGAGAGGCGACTCCCAGCCCCCACCCATTCTTTAGAACTGGAACAAGGTCAACCAGATGTCCTGGAAGGCCCCGACAACAGCTGCTGCTGGGTGGCAGAGCTGGGGCTGGCAGCAGCTTCAAGGAACGTTATCCGCGAGTGCCCTCTGCTGACAGCTTCAAGTGTTGCAGCTCCCGTGCTGGGATAGCAAAAGCCACAGCTTCGAAGGGCCAAGTGACTGACCTGGGGTGGACAGGACACTTGTCTGCTGCAGTCTCTGCTTCCACTGCAGGACACGCAGAGGGATCCCATGCAGAGCTGCACTGCTCCCAGCAGTAAAACTGGCCCGGCCTCAAAAGCAGCAGGAGGAAGTGGGAAAATCCTACCCTCTGCTGTGGGGTCTCAGGTCCTTTGTTAGGGGGGCTTCCGGGGAAGGTCAGCACTGTGACCACCTCCCCCCAGGGACCCATTGCAAAGCTAGGGCGGCTCCTAACAGCTGATGGTGGTCAGTGGCAGGCAGGTCCCAAAGAGGAACCGGTTCCAGCTGCGCTTACTTCTGGCAGGAAGTTGCCTTACAGGAGAGCAGGGAAGGCCCCCTCTGCCCCCGTCACAGGCTTGACCCACCCCCTCAGGGTGTGGGGTCCGAGAGGGGACAAGACATCAGAGTCTCAGCTGGCACGCACAGCGGTGGCCTGCCGCGCATGCTGGTGAAGACCCCAGCTGGCCGGGCCAGCGGCAGGGTCCTGGTGGCCCTTTCCCTGGGACGGGGCAGGCAGCAAGGCACTGGAACTGTGTGTGGCCCGAGCAGCCCAGAGGTCCCTGTCCTCGCCTGGGACAGACTGCAGTTACGATCTCACTGTCCTCTTCCAGGGTTCCCTGCCTCTGTCCCCAGCCCGGCACTCTGCGCCCCTGACAACTGCGCTGCCTGAAATAAAGAACAGCGCGGAGAAGACAGCGTGGGCTTTCTCCGGCATGATACACGGCCCGGGACCGTGAACCCTCGTCCCTCCCAGCTCATTAAAATGCTGTTTCTCAATTTATGAAATCTCTATGGTAACAAATTTTCTCAGCTCAGATAAAACCTGAAAAGATAAATCATGTTTAACATACATTTCTCCCCTGGCAAAGTAACAACGGATTTATGGTCACTTTAAGATGTCCACGCTCGTCACGACACGAGCCGGGCCGCTGGCACGCTCCGGGCTGGCGGGCAGCTGAGGGGGGTGAGTCCCTGCCCGACAGTCCATATGTCACTCCTCCTGCGAAAGTCACCGCTACGGGGCAGGCTTGGCACTGGGCCAGTCCCATCCTCGGGCCTTTCCTTCCCTCCGGAGCTCCGGCCCAAGGGACTACGGCCTACGAGGAATACAGCGGGAGCCTCATAAATGCCTCTGCCGTGGGACTGAGTCGTGCTGAGCCGCAGACTATGCAGACTGACCGCTTGATTTGATCATGCCATCGATAAGGAGCAATCGGTCCCTGACCGTGTGCCGGGCTCTGGGGACACAGGAAGGAACGGATGCAGCCCCTGCCCCAGGAAATGAAGGCAAGAGAATTTGTTCAGGGTGTGTGGCCACTTTGGAAGCAGTCCGGACTTGGGTGGCCTTTCAGCTGGCCTCTGGAGGCTCAACTGTCACCAAACTGAGGTCCTTGCTGAAGCAATCCCATGTGACTACTCGGATCCTTGGTCTCCGATTTCAGCCAGCAGGCCCCAGCCCTGCAGGCCCTACCGAAGGGACAGTGGGGCGGCCCACAGGACTGGGGTGTTATGGGGACCTCCCTATCTTGTGATGGAGCCGCCAGCTGCATGGCCTCCCCTTGGCTCAAAGACACCCACAGACATGTGTTCATGGGAGACCAGGTCATCATGGGCCATCCCAGCCCTCCCTGCGCGGCTACCCAGCAGACACTGTGCTCCGGGCACTGCACACTCTGGACCTGTGAGGGGACGCCATAGAAATCCCTCCCGACGTATCTGGAAGTCGGCTCCTGCCAGGGAAGGGCGGTCACCCACACGGGCCTGCTCCAAGGAGACTCTGGGACATCCAGTCAAGTCCCTCAACTGATGGCATTAAGTAAACACCGCTAAAAAACTCCCGATCGTGCTGTCCAGGGATTCCTCCTAGCTTTCCAGTCATTTAGCATGCGTCCCTGGGATCTGGGGCTATTTCCTGCTGCAGTACAAATTCCAGTACACTTCTTGTACCAATGCCCTCGAACTAGGTGAAGAAAAGACTAAATATACTGCCAGATCCTGGCTGAAGATCATCTCCGAAGGTGGAGCCCTTATTTGCATGGTGAATCCAGCTCCCGTGGGCCAAGGTCACCCACGGCTTGGGTCGGCATGACCCCGGAACCCAGTCCCCTCGGGCCTTTCCTGCTGCCCTGGCCACGCAGGCTCCCTGGAAGGAATTCTAAACCTGGGGTCACAGGGCAGACAGCACGCAATTCCGCACAGCGCGGCAGTGAGTATTGGAGGGGGGGCTGCCGGAAGACGTCTTCCCTGACCCCAAAGGTGTGGTGCTACCCTGACGCACGGGGAGGTGAAACCCCTGTCCTTCTCATAACAGAAGTCACAATCGGGCACCACGGGCACCCTGACGGGACATCCACCCTTACAGATGACTTTGACCTTGTCCAGGCTGGGCATCTATGACCCAGGGCAGCTCTGTACCCAAGGGCCGGCCCTCAGACACCCCTGCTGCCAGGGTCCCAGCTAGCTGCCTCGTCAGCATTGCTGGATGACATCCAAATGACGCCCATCCAAAATGACACCCCAGACACTCTGTCAGAGACATGCTCACAAGTCAGGAGGGTGGACCGAAGACAGGCTGGGGAACGTTGGGGGGCGCCGCCCCAAGAGGAAAAGGCCAAAGAGACAAAGCGGTGGCCACAGAAAGGGTAAACTGACTTTGAAGTTGACGATTACTTTCCTATAGAGATAGGCTGCTTCTCCAAGTTGCCCCAGGCCCGTGGCCATAGAGGACTTAAGGCTTCTAGTGTGGGGCTAAATCCACGCGTGGGTACTGTTTCCCGGCTTTGGTGGACCCTCAGAAACTGAGGTGTTCTGTGTGTCCCACACGCAGGGGCCGACTTGTGGCCCTCCCCAGTCTGCCCAAGTTGTGAATAAACCCATGTGCCATGTGCACACCTTTCTCTCCTACATGGTTGTGGCTAGGGGAACAAACCCAGATGCCTGGGGCCCCCTGGAACCACACGGCCAAGAAGAACACCCTTCAGGGGAGCAGCGGGCCAGGTGGCTCCTAGGGACTCCGAAGCTCCTTAAAAGGGTCCTGATTCTGGTACAACTGTCAGGGTCACTTCCAGGTCACCAAGATGGAGCCAGGTTTTCTAATAATTACGAGATAGCTCCCAAGGTGCCAGTCTGCCCACGCTCTGCCTCCTTGGTCTCTCTTATCTAAAAGAAAGAAGAGCTCACCTCCCCAAGGCTGCAGGAGTATCCATTACCAGCCCATTCCTCCTATGCAGATAAGCCCAGAAGGCTTACTCACTCTGGGTTGGCCGGGATGACAACACGCCTCATCCCCTGGCCAGGGACAGGGGCAACTGGGAGCCGAATCTTGCAGCTATCGGACAGGTAACATCATTAAAAGCAGAGACCTGGTGCTTGGCAATGGATCCTCATTAAAAGCCTTGTGCTGGCTCGCTGTGAGCTGTGTTGTTTGATTCATGTATCTCTTAATGTCACTGCCCCCAATTAAGCCGCTGTCTGCAAGCACTTCCTTCCCCGAGACCCCGAGCTGTCTCTTGACCTGGTCCCCGGGGACCATCCATCTCACGGCCTGTCTGCAGCTGCCACACACCTGCTCGGGAAGCCTCGGCCCCATGCACCTCTGGTGTGGATGGTGAGGGCTGCTCAGAGCTGGGCATCGTGATGAAATCAAACTGGGCTCGGGAGAAGGACTCCCAGGGAAACTGCGCGCTACCCCTGGCTGCACGCCACAGTCCGCCGAAGCCACCCCTGAGAGCAGAGCCGCGGGTCCCTTACCAGGGTACAGCTGCTTGGTGGGTGCGCTAAGCTGCGCGTCTTTGGTGACGCGGTAGGCGACATCCGGGCCCTTGGAGGATCGTCGCGTCGCACAGAACCCGGTGGTCTTCGTTATTCCATCCGGCAAGGTGTGGAAGTCCAGGACCTTCAGGAGATCTGCTGGCTGAGCTGCAACGACAGGGCTGGGTCAGCTGCGAGAGGGAGGCAGAATGGGGGTGGCGAGGAGGTCAGGACGGGGCCAGCTCGGGGCCAGGTGGCAGGGCCACACAGGCATTGCCACCTGGGTCCTGCAAGCAGCCACATGCCAGGGAGACTGCTGGTGCCCCAAAGATTCCCCGGGAGGCCGCGAAAGTCCCGCTGCAGTCAGACCAGCGTCATGGCCCTGCCCAGTGAGGGGGCATAGTCGAAGCCCAGGAAACTGCCCTTCAGGCCCAGTGCTTTTGCGCCTCCCCAGTCTCCACTGCCCTCGCATGTATTGTCCCCTTGCTGCCCATAAAAGGTCACTTCTCAAGAGAGTTCCTGGCACACAGCCAGTCCAGCTGCCCCAGAGGTCTTGGTGCCTGACAAGAGGGAAACGGGTCCCTGCATCCCTGGGGAGAGCCCTGCACCCCTCCTGAGGTCCCCACGTCCCTCTGGAGGGCCTTGACCTTCACCCCACAGGGCCTGCTGGAGCAGAGAGCAGCAAGGCTGAGGGCTGGGGAGGCAGCGACCATCCGACCCCTGCAGCCACGGTGTCCCCTCAAGGGCTGGCTGTCCCTCCCGCGCAATGGCCTGGGCAGCACACCCACACACACACAATGCGCGTCCCAGCGGGATTCAGCTTTCTGCATGCCGATCATCCCAGGAAGGAAAATGAGCCCCAGCTTGCTGCCCCAGAGACAAAACAAGTGGGCACCTGGGGTACCACCCTGGGGTCCCAGGACCCCACCCCCATATCCACCCACCCCGCCCCCTCCAGGGACCAATCTGGGTGGAAACCCTGCCTCAGATGGACAGGCTGACTGGGGGCTCCACCCTGGGCCCTCTCCTGGGAAGGAGGGACCACCACCTGGCTGGCTCCACACATGGGATGTGCGTGAGCTGCAGGGGCGGGGCCGTCTCGGGTGGGGAGAACAGAAAGACTGACTCCTGCCAGCTGCCTGGGCGCCCGTATCTAGCTGTGCCTGGAGGGGCACATCTACCCCAGCCAGTACATTCCTCCTTATGCTTCAGCCCCTGGGGACCCCACCCAAAATGTGCTAGTGAAACACTGCCATCCCTGGTGCCCCCCCTCACCCAGGCAGGCTGCCCCTTGGATCCCAGTCCCTCCTATGTGATCCGCTCAGCGACACCAGACCTCCCTCCCCTAGGACTCTTGAAAGAGCAAAACCCTTTTCAGGGGCTTTGGCAATCGGGAGGGAGGGGAGGGCGGCTGGCTCGGAGGATCCTGCAGCACCCAGCTGTAGCACCTGAGACCCAAGACAGCCACACAGCCTGTGCAGCCAGGAAGCCCTCAGAGAACCAGACAGCAGGGGACCCAGTCTCCCGGGAGGGTGGCGGCCTGGGAGATGCAGACAGCAGGCCTGGCGTCCAGTGCAGGACTGCGCAGGTGCACAGGACACCTGGAGACGCAGGCACCCAGCTGGGGGCGAGAGAAAGACAGCAGTCTGGTCCAGGCTGGCGGAGGCTTCAGGGGGAGACAAGGAGGGACGTGGAGCCGCTCCTCTCCACCTGGAGACAATGCCCAGGTCCACACTGTGCAGACCCTGGAGTCCCGAGAGCCTGGCCCAGGAATGTCGTCTGTACAGCCTGGCCTGGCTGCACCCACGGCCACGGGGCTGCAGATTTCTATTTCTGCAGGGCTGCCTACAGGCAGCAGGGGGCGCCAGAGGCAGCCGGCACTCCCAGTCCTCGCCAGGCTTCTCCATTCAGAATCACCCCTCAGTGGCCTCTGTGATTTTCCTGAGTGGCCCTTGGCCCCACTCAGGGTAGAGACCCACGTGGTGTGGCCCATGGGGATGCCCCGCGTCCCTCCGCCACCTCCAGATCAGCGACAGAGCCCTCGCTGTCCCCACTACACATCGGAAGTGACCAGGAGCGTGGGTACCTGGCGAGGCCGCGTGGCCCAGCCCCAGGCCTGGACAGGGCCGTGGGAAGGGACAGCGTGCCAGCCGCGGGCGCACCTGCCTGGATGACACCGTGCCCAGACTCATCTTGCAGACCGGGTTTCAAGGTTGGCAGCAGGCTGAGGAAGGGACCGGGGATCGGCGGGGTTTCCTGGCCTCACCTCACAGCGAGCCCTGATGCTCTTCCCAGGCCTCGGCGCAAGCTGTTTTCCCCATCGAGGCCGGCGCGGAGCTGTTTTCCAGCGGTCCTCAGCTCAGGTCCGCAGGCCGAGGCTGCAGCAAGTTCAAAGGGCTGCCACGCCGGCCCTGTGCCACGCCGGCCCTGTGCCACCGCCTGCGGCAGGGCTTCTGTGCCAGGGCGCCGCGGGCGCTAGGTCCTGGGCAAGCTGTGGGGCGGAGCTGAGTGGCACAGGCCGCGCTCGGAGTCCCCAGCCCACTGCAGGCCCCGTGCTGCAGCGCGGTGGGGGTGGGATTCTGAGGGTGAGAAGCCAGCGTCACCTCAACTGGCAGAAGATCTGGGCAGGCCAAGGCCAGGCACAGAAACCACAGGTGCCAGCAGGAGCTGGGGGCACAGTCCCGAGCCTCCAAAGCTCAACAGGGCGGCTCCCCACCTTTACCCCTCCCCAAGGGCAGAGGTGGGTCCCTGGTGCCCCTGCAGCATCCCAGGGCCTCGGTGAGGGGAGATGGGCGTTGCTGTGCACACGGCCGCCAGTGTGGCCACTCTTCAAGGTAAGAGCCACGGTCTGTGCCCGTAGGCCTGTGGAGGCTTCGTGACTTTTCACTCTGTCTCATGGGTCTCTCACCTGGGGAGCCCACCCCGCACCGCAACCCAGCCTCCCCTCACCTTCCTGCTGTGTGTGGGGAGCTAAAAACCACATCTCCCAGAGGCCTTTGCAGTGAGGCTTCTCCGGGTGCATACTGGGTTCTACCCATCAGTCTGTCCTGGGCGCAGAGCACGGCAGGGGGCCTCTGTCAGCTTGGCCAGGGGAGCTGCAGAGTCAGGACCTGGGCGCCAGGGCCCAGGGACGGGCCTCGGGGCGTGGCAGTATCTTGCTGTCCGGGTGGCAGCCTCGCTCTGGCCTGGAACATCACGCGGAGGGGAGCTCCTGACCCCACGACCCCAGCCGTTCAGGGACAGGGTGGGCACCTGATTCACCACGTCCCAGCCCCTCGCCTGGAGCCGCCAGCTCCTGTCCACGCCGGCTCAGTGCCCACCCCAGGCTCGCACACACCGGCTCCAAGAGTCAGGAGTCCTGCAGGCCAGAGCCAGGGCCGTGGGTGCACTTCCCACAGGCCTCCCCTGGCCGTGCGAGTGCCAGTCTTGGGGCCCTTGGGCCCACGTTCACGACGGAGGCGGCCAGCTGCTTGTCCCAGACCAGCAAAGGGACGGACAGGTGAGGTGAGCGCTGACAGAGGGGCGGCCGGCCGAGGACTCTGGCCAAGCACCACAGGAGACAGCGGGAAGGCCCTGGAGACAAGGCGGGAACCGGGGTGCGGGTGCACCAAGGCCTCAGGAAGAGGACGGGGGGCAGATGGACAGACGGATAAACGGACAGGTGCATGGAGGAAGCAACCAATGAGCACGCGAAGGGGCAGGAACGTGGGCGGCCGCTCCCCACACAGGACAGCCCTTCCGCAGCCCGGGTGGCGCTGCCCTGCCTTCCCAGAGCCAACGCCGGCGGTGTGACTGAGCTGAGCGTCACCCTGGAACCCGCTGGCTCCGCCTAAAGCCTGACGCCGCAGAGGCTGTGACACAGCCGGGGGCTGCTTGGGCCAGCGCAGTCCTACTTCCCTCCCCGGGACTGGCCAGGCGGGCTGCTGGGCCCGAGCACTGGGCCTCTGTCAGCCGTCCCGCTGCATACAGCCACTGTCCCGGGGACAGAAGCAGAGGGCGCCCAAGGGGAGTGAGTGCCTTGCACCCGGGAAGGGCTTGAGCACTGAGGCACTGTGGAGGTGTGCACGTGGGTGCTGCACGCCCTCCCTCATCAGCCAGGGCTGGGGCCACTGGAGAGACGGGAGGAAGGGCAAAGCAGCAGGAGCAGAGGCAGAGGCGGAGCTAGCCAGCCTCAGTGTTTGCTGAATGACTGAGTGAATGAGCATGGCTCTTACACATGACAGCCAAATCTCGCTCCCTGTGGTGGCACCAGGTCTCCTGCTACAGTTCAGCCCCCAGCGCTTTCTAAATAAGTGATACGTGTTTAAGCCCTTGCCAGGGCCAGACTTCCACGGAGACAGCTGCTGGTCACTGCCCCTCCATCCCAGAGCCTGGACACACACAGAGGTCTCGGCTCACAGACCTGTGCTCCCAGGGGCTTGACCCTGACCTTGACTTGACCTTGCTCCCAGGTCCCACATGGCCCTGGCAAAGCTGTCTCTGTGCCAGGGACACACAGCAAGCTCGGGCCTCTCTGGAGCAGGGCCACAGGCACAGTGCCAGCTTGCGGACCTCAGCCTGGGTCTGACCAGGGGAACACCATGCACGCAGGGTCCCATCTGCCCCACAGTGCAGGGTGTAGGCACAGGACTAGGGCTGGGCTGCAGGCTAAAATCACAGGTCACAGGGATGTCTCGGTGTCCGTTTATGGCTGACATGCAGGCGGGAGGCTCCAAACAGCAGCCCTGTCCCTGCTCCCCCCGCCAGGGCCACCAGCCCCCTTCCCAGCAGCTGCCACGTTCACTCTGCTGCCCCAGAGGGTGACGGTCCTGTGCATCACTCGGGCTGTGGTCAGGGATGGTCCACGGCCCAGCAGGAAGTGGGGCATCTGTCCCTCACTGCAGGGTGAACACCCTCAGGCCACTGATGGCAGCCGGGCTGCAAACCCACTCTGCCGAGGCCAGGATGATGGATGAT